AGATAAGGGAGGACTAGATCTTCCCAACTTCTACCTCTACTTCATGGCCAACAGATCACAGTGCATCTCAGGTCATTATACAGGTACATTATACAGGTCAGCGAATGTTCAAGATGGGATTTGCATTATCTGACACCTGCTCTCAATGCACAGGTAATATACCTGACAATTACATTCATGCACTCTGGTTCTGTCCACCTGTTCAGAGGTTCTGGGACAGGGTTTGTGAAGACTTGTCTAAATGTTTGAAATGTTATATCCCACTCTCTCCGTCTGTTTGTTTATTGGCTATTTTAGATGATGTCACCTCAGAGAAAAACAAATCTCGCATGATTTTCACTGCCTTTTGTATTGCAAAGAAAACAATACTCCTGAATTGGAAAAATAAAAACGCTATTAGTATTAACCAGTATAGAAATCTCTTATTAGATCACATTAGTCTTGAGACAGCCTCTGCCACTACATCAGATAAACATCTCTGGGCTCCTTTGGTCGACTTAATCACATAGTGGGGGTGGGGGTCCTTGGACTGGGTCTTGTGGGGAAGTGGAGCTGATGTGGTGGGGTATAGGGGTTTTGGGCGTCTGGGGGGCGTTCCTGGGGGCGTAGCTGCTGGGGGTTCCTGGGTGGGGAGGGGCACAGCTCTCGCCGTGGGGGGACCCTGGGGGGTCTGGGGGATATCTTCTGATGACTACATGCGGGCTCTTAGGTGGTCTGTGGTGGCGGTCATGGGTTGCTGACCCGGTGGCCTGACTGTGCTGGGGTGGGTTCGGGGTTGGCGCGGGGAGCTTGGGGTTCTGGGGTCGTGCCACCCCTGGGCTATGGACCTGGTGGGGTCGGGGGGGGGCTTGAGGCCTGGCGGGTGGATTGCCAGGCTCTGGGCCGGTTTATGCCCTGGTGCCCGGCTCTGGGCGGGGGGCTTTTGGTGCGCTGGTGGGCTGCGGGTCCGAAGCTGGGGGGTTGGGTTGGCTGGGGACGGGGCCGGTGGCCCGTGGGAGGGGGTAGGCCAACCCAGCCTGGGTGTCTAGCGTGCCATATGTTCTGTGAGTTGTCTGAATGGTGGGGTGGGCATAGTATTTCTTCTGGGGTGAGGCTGGGCGGATGGCCGTGGTGGCGGTGGTGGGCTGTGCTGGGCCGGCTGGCTGGCCCCTTTGTTTTGGCGGGGGCTCGCTCTTGGGCCCTCCTTGCGCTGTCGGCGGCTGAGTGTGCGATCTCGGCTAGATCATTCTTGCTGGGGTTCGGTAGGTTCTTTGGGCTGCCGGTTGGCTGTGGGGCTGGGGGTCGGGTCTTGGGGGTCTGTGCGGCTCTGGGGYGGGGGGTCTATTGGTCCCAGTTTCTGGCAGTCCTCCGGGCTCTGTCCGTGATCTGGCGTCTTCCGGGCCTGGCGGTCTGTCCGGAGGAGGAGGTCTTGGGGGCCTCAGTCCCTGGGTGGGTCTCAGGGAGTGGGGAAACCTACTGGGGTCAGTGGGGGAGCTGGCCCCCTGTGGGAGCATTCTTGCTCCCTCAGTTTTTTCCTCCCCATCCCCCACCACAAACCTCCACCCTCTTCATTTTTCAACTGCACTCAAGTAGGTTTTTAGGACACAGGTGTGTTACAGCAGCAACAATTGCACATCTGTTGCAGTGGCCACCTGGGCTCCAATTTTACTGTACACCTTAGACATTTACTCATAACCATACAACATTTACACATAGGAACTTGGGAGTGGGCACATGCATGCTAGGGGTGGGATGGGACAGTCTTGCTACCGATGCCTGTGCCCACTCACATTGTTTTCTTTTAGACATTTAGGGTTAGGATTGGAGCTGGGGTGG